TTTTGGCTGATCTTTGGAATATGGTAACTGGTAGTTTGGCGACATTTTGGAGGTGATAAAGGTTACTACCTAGGACTTTCATAATAACGTGAGAAGTACTCAGTTCCGATTACGCATTATTTTGTGTGAGGGAAATGAGAGATCATGAGATATGTCATGTGACATTAATGGACGAATTACAGTTCTTTAATCGGAAAAGGGGGGGTAACTTGGAAAACTGTAGTACTATATTATTTTGTATTAAGCTTTATTGTGTGTTGTGTGAAATAGTAGAAGTGTGCGTGCCACGTAACGAAGATTCTGAAGATTAGGTAAGTTAGTATTTTTAATCATTTGAGGATATTATTTTTATGCAGTGTTCTAAATGTAAGGAGTAAATAAATTTATATGGTATTATTGGAAAATTATTATTAGCAATGATTTAGTTTAAAGTAATTAGGATTGTAATCTAATTTTTATTAATTTAATGTATGTGCTTATTTATATTTTAAATAGTGTTTTTTAATTTAATGATCGTGATTTTGTGAGTTATATCTGTTTGTAGTATTTGGAATACGTTTGAGTAGTAGAATACGTTGAGTATTTCATGCATTTTTCGTGAAATTTTTCTAATTTATGAGAAAAAAGCTGTGTACATGGATATAGTGAAGTGTGTGCGCAATGCCATTTTTGTGCAATTCTGGGGGGGGGGGGGGGGGGGGGGGGGGGGGGGGGGGGGGGGGGGGGGTGTTTTTGGGGGGGGGGGGGGGGGGGGGGGGGGGGGGGGGGGGGGGGGGGGGGGGGGGGGGGGGGGGGGTATGGTTTTAAGTAAAAATAAGTCGACGTGTACATGGTTTAGTGATATTTAATTAAATGATAGTTATTTGTGAATTTTATGTTTGTAGGAATTTGGTATACGTTTCAGTGAAGTAAATGTGCATGGAAGTAAGTATTAATATTTGACACTAAGTATTTGTAACCATTTGTAAGTTTGCGGTATGAATTCGTTGGTGACGTTTATAATATAATAGATAATTTAGAGGTAAAAGTTTTTGGATATTTTATTTATTTATACGTGGAAATGTTCATCTTTGGAAAGGGTATATACTTTTTGCGATCAGGTAATTTCATATATTCTTTTTAACAGATTTAAAGATTCACAAAATTTTCATGCATTTTCGTGAAATTTTTTCTAATTTATGAGAAAATAGCAGGTGTAGATGGATAAAGTTAAGAGTGTGTGCAAATGCCATTTTGTGCAATTCTGGGATGTTTTTTAAGTAAAAATAAGTCGGCGTGTACATGTTTGGTTATGCGTATGTGTTATTTTGAAAAACGCGTAGGAGTATGGTATGTGCACTTTTTCCCAATTTTGCAGTTAATATTTGTCATGATTAAGCAGTTTTGTTACATAAAATTTCTAGCATAAGTGTAATTTGGCTAGTAGATTGTTGGAAAAAGTGGTCAGTAAATAAAAAGAAAAGAAACATGTCTTTACTTCGTGAAGACAAAATGGCGGCGAAAAACAAATAGAGGGTTGCTGTAGTAGAGTTGGTCACCAAATTTTCACCAAAAACATCGCCAAGTTATCATAATCCAAAGATCAACTATATTTTCTGTTAACTGAATCGTAGGCAGTCTTAAAATCAACAAAAAGGTGGTGCGTTGCAATGCCACATTTAGTTTTTTCCAAAATTTGCCTAATGTTAAAGATTTGTTCTGCTGTAGATCTTCCTTTGCGGAAACCACATTGGTAATCACCTACAGTACTTTCTGTATAAGTTACTACTCTACTAGAAAGTATATTGTAAAATAGTTTGTAGGAAACACAAAGGAGACAGATTACCCTGTAGTTGGTACTTTCGAAAATGTCTCCTTTTTTGTGTATATACTTAAAAGCATTTATCATTTTTACATATACCACAAAATTTTTCATCTGATTAATCAAACATGATAAATAGCCAGTAAATTGCATAATTTTAATGCATATTTGTCAACTTGACCCCAAAGAAGATGATGCATCAGTAAAATTTTAGCACTTTCACTGTGCACTGTCAACATAACTTATTACACAATAGCCCTCTCTGCAGAAACTTTTTTTTTTTTTTGAACTGCAGCACAATTTTACATAAACCAGTTCTTCCTAAGCAATGATCAGCTCTTAAAACATTATTAAACAAATTCTAAATATCCCATGCAATGGTAAATTTTATGCTTACTTTCATTTTTAAGGCAGAAAAATTAAATTTGGAAAAGGTAGTTTTACATTTTTATAGATTTCAGTCACATATGAATACTAAAATCTTGATTTCATATATACAAACATACATATATTCAACAGCAAATATGTAAAATATTGTGACACGTTTCCCTACTATTTTACATAGAATGCATGAAAGTTGGTAGATATCTAAATGCAACACAATTAGAAATGCTTATTTAGAAAAAAATTTCAAAACTTACCCCAGCTGCAAAACCCAGACTGCCATCCAGAAGTTTATGCTGAAAGAGGAAGACTTATAAGAAAATATATACATATATTTATAAAACTTTCTAACAAGAAAACTTGGAGAATAAAAGAATTATAACTTTAAAGGAATTTCAGCGGGCTTTAATTCATTATTCTAACAATGTATGTAAGAAAATACATTTTGTAGCATTTATTATTCATTGATTTATTGTAATTTCTGGTACAAAACCATATCTATCTAAGGTTATCTGCATTAAACAAACAGTAAAAACAGCAATTACAAAGTAATTAAAAGAAGTTTCATGACAATTACTATATATTTTAGATGAAGTAAAAAACAGACTAAAAACAGAATGCAGTTTAAAATAAAAGTCAATATCTTTTAAAAACTGCAACAAATTGTAATGATGGTTTTTCCCTAAAGTTTTGTAAATCTAATTTAAAACAATTAAAATGTTTTTGGCGAAAATAATTAAAACTACGACATTCAAATAAAATACAGCGGGCTGTCAGATCTGCATTACAGTTTGCGCAATGGGGTTCTTTTAGCCTTTCAGCAGATAATTGCGAGTCAGTCGACAATGACTTATTCTTAACCAGATTAAGATAACTTGTTCCCTTCCATTGTTTCTTTCCAGAGAATATACAATGATGTGCGAAATGCAGGATTTTAAAATACCCAGACACTATAGTGGATAAGGGAGCCTAATGAGATACCGAAAGGCCCGGGTTCGAATCCCGGAGAAGGCATGGCTGTAATTGTCTGTACCTTCATAGGAAATAACGGTGACCTATCTATTAGGTGCTTTCATAATAAAATACTTCCATACTTTCGACCTTGGTAGCGGGCAAACCTAAGTCGGCTAAGGACCGCCAAGGGGGGGGGGGGGTAAAAAAAAGTAACTGCAAGCAATATAATATAAAATAATTATTTATAATTATAAATATTTCATTTATAATTCTAGTTCCATAATTTTTATTCCGTTATAAATAACAGAATCAACACATAAACTACATTGCGAAAAACAATAATACAATTTCTGTGAAATATTAAGTAACCCGTATACACGACTTCCACAAAGGTAGTATACGGTACTAAACTAATGTTTCATAAACAAATTTTCTTCTTCAAAAAATTAATTATACCTGTTTTGTCGAAAAGCAGAATACCAAAGCCGCTCCAGCAGCGGTGAGCGCCCATGTAAACACAGTCCCTAAAAATGACTGAATGATAGGTGAATAATCGTGGATCATACTCTTCAGTTCAACAGTTTACTGCATCTGATATCTCACATCCTCTTCTCTTGAAAAGCACAGTGTAAAAGATCAAAATCCTCTACAGCCAACAGGTGCTTTTAATGATAAAATACCGAATAAGAAACATAAATAGACTTACGTCCTGTTTTGCAGACAATACTAAACATTTCAGCCTACTAGGAAAAAATTAAGCATGTAAGCATAATACATAATAATTAAGCATAGGAGAAGATGTAAAAAAAATTAAGTCTGTGCTATTAATTTTTTGAAACATAACAGTGAATAAATTTAATCTCAAGAGTGTGTTAAAATTATGAATTGAAAATTAAAATGAAGAAAGTTATCGTAAAATCATGCACAATGTCGCAGAATTTTACGCTTCTGAAACTTCGGCGAACTCTTTAGTAGTTCCTCTTCCTCAAGTTTTGAAGAGAACATCGCAAGCTATTTGGAGTGTCGGAGTATACAATTAAAAAAATGAAGCGCGAAGTATCAATAATGGGTGAAAATAAACTTCTAAATACACTTGGAAACAAACGTAAAAGACCTGCTAATCATAAGTGCGAAATTGACGATTTTGACAAATGCGTTATACGGCAGACAATACAAGACCTTTACATCAAAAGAAAAGAAAGTGCCATCTGTGCGGAAACTACTGCCTGTCTTGAGGCAAAAAATAGACTTCCTGTGGCAAAAAGACTCTTTGTGCAAAGTTTTGCGTTCAATGCAAGTAGGTTGGTTCAATGAAATTCATGAATTTGCGTTTAATGCGATGTTCTCATTCGCTGCAAGACATGCGTTAACAAAAGAAAAATTCTTATTGAAAGACCTCACATTGTATTTTGGAGGAACAATTATTTACGCGAAATGAGGAAACTCAGAGCAAGTGGACGCCACATCGTTTACATCGATGAAACATGGATTGACAGCAATTCAACCTTTAAGAAATGTTGACAGCATGATTCGGTTTTGGGCGCACAAATAAATGTCAGTTAAAAAAAAAATAGACGGATTGTTATCCATGCTGGCTCTAACGCTGAATTTATTCCAGGTGCCCAACTTGTACATAAAGCATCAGCTCAAAGCGGGGATTACCATGGGCAAATGAACTATGGGAATTTTGAAAAATGGGTGTTGGAAAAGCTTCTTTTAAATTTACGACGACAAAGTGTGGCATGCATGGATAAATGCCCCGTATCACACAAAAATTGAAGATCCAACACCCACGAAATATGCTACAAAGCAAACAATGGTTAATTGGCTAATGAAGAAGACGATATGCTGCAATCCCAAAATGCGAAAAGCGGAACTGTTTAACTTAATAGAATGCAATCGTCCTAAAAAAGTAATTTATAAAATTGACAACATCATAAATGAAAATGGGCATCATGTTGTGCGTCTCCCTCCTTACCACTGTAATCTAAACACAGTGGTAAGTTGGTCATCAGTTAAAAGACTGATCAGGGAAAGGAATGTGACTGGAGACTTAAGCTTGGAAAATTTGAAAAATTTAACACAAAAAGCTTTGGATGAAGTCACTTCTCAAGAATGGCAGGCGCACTGCAACCACGTAGAAAAACTTGAAAATTCTTACTGGGACAAGGACGAACTTCTAGAAGAGATAGTGGACGAATTAATAATTCAAACTGGCAGCAGCGATTCTGATTCAGAAGAAACGGAATTTTGCGACAGTGATTCAGACGACTTTTCAGATGTTATACCTCTATAAAAGTCCTCCACGAAGGCATCCTTCTTCTTCATTTGATAGCTCTGTCAAGTTATGAGGATATTTATAGGTTCAGTATTTTCTTTGCCACTATGTAAATGAAAGATTACCAAAAGTGGGCAACAATGAGCCTTCGGCAGAAACGAAACTCCCTTGTGGATAATAAAGAACCCTGAACGGTTGCTCCATTTCTCATTACTGTGTTCTTGGGAACCCACAAGCTACGGTATAATTTGCTTAACAAATAATTTTAATCTTTAATGAAAATTAAAAAAGTTTCGTTTTATTATGAAAATATTAATACATAATTATGTTAATGCAACAAAGCTCACTGAAGTTTATAAAGCCAAAATTTTGTATAATTATAAAATTCGTATAATTTTAAATATAAAATAGGTAACTGAATAATTTAAGAGGCCTTAATTTTGTTCTGATTTTAACATTTTATTATGCTACTGGCTATTACAGTGTCTATAAAAAGCAGCATAATACATAAATGGGCGCTGGTAATTAAGGGGCTCAGCAGCGGCCGATCGGTAAAGTCACTGAACACTGGTAGTTCGGTCCGAGGTTTGAATCCCGTGAACGGGCTGGCTGCATGAGCGTTTTCCGCCTGTGTAACGTGTATACGAGCCAGTTTCTCTTAGCAAGCGCTCCACGAAGGCATCCCTCTCTAGGCATTTAACTGGAGGCTTAAAATTATATAACTAAATAACAGGTAATGGGAAAAAGTTTTGATTTTAATTCACCTTCGCTTAATTTCGCCATTAAATTGACCAGCTTTGGTTTAATTTGAAGGTAGGGAAAAGAAGAAATGTTCGCAAAAATATTATTGAGAGCATGCGTATGTAATAACGCTTTTATTTCAGATGATTCCATATACATTTATGATGAAATTTTTAGTCATTATTAAAGCACAGCATAAATTAACAGAAAATTTTGAAATAAAAACATAGCAGAACGTCATTTAAAGACGGAAGAAATTGCTTTGAATGTTCACAGTAGATTAGCTAGAGGGAGAAACTATAATAATTTAATTTATTTTACATTTATGAAGTGCGTCTATACTTTTATTACAGAGATAGGGGCAATCAATTAGATTCTAAGATGTCATCTAGGATTTTGCAAGCAAACAAATAAACAAAAAAAGAAGCAAATAATAGCATGATTTTTTTAAATGTAAAATTAAATTTTTCTTCAACAATAAGGCACCTGGTGATACTGGTAATCGTATTTTTCTACAAGTATCTGTGTTTATTCGTTTTACGTCACTGGTCGTAACTGACACAGTGTGCAAAGGATTTTCGCAACAATTACCGACGCTACTTGATTCCGTTCGAGTCTATTGTGCCTACCAATTAACAACAAGCCCGGACGTTCTCTTGACTGCGCTTAATTACTGCCCTCTCCTGTCGTCATCTTACGCAATCGAATTTTCACATTTTTCTTGGATCACAATTGTATGCTGGTCCGTGTCGACGCACTAAAGTGTTTCAACGGCATTTTAATGGCAACTAAAACAAAATTGTGGAATATCGCCAGTCTAGTTCTCTGCAGTTGACACGCTTGCGCCAAGGTGGCAAAGGCCCCCCTGCGAAGTAATCTTTTGGAAGACCACCCCTGACGAAATTAAAATGGGTCAGGGGGGATCGTTTCTACGGTCATACAAGTATGAAGCAGGTGACAAATTGGCGTCTTTCGATGAGCTTGTTCTTACCGCCGACAGACAGTAAGGCATTCCAGCAACACCACTGTGCGGCACTGCGCATTAATCTAGTTGTTCGTCGCTCCGATCTGCGATTTTTGCACGCTCGCCTCCTGTATATCTGGCCGTGCCCTACATGTTCCAGTAGCATGCCACTCATCCCGAGTGCTGCAAAAGTCTGCGTTCTATGACATTTGGTAGCCGTCCGCAAGGACACCGCAGTCTCAACTGCACGGCCGTGTACGCCACCAGCGTCCTCCTTCAGCTGGACCTTTATATGGCGCGCACTTGGTTTTCATGGCCTGGCCGCCACAGAGCGGATCACAGGTCACTGATGGCCACTGTGGTGCCACCCCCCCCAGATATACGGTGCCCCCTGACGCTGGGTCCATGCTATTGGCCCGGTGCGGCCCCGACGGTATGTCGCTCAAACCTATTGTTCAGGGATTTCAACTCAAGACGACCTGTTTCACCGCGTGTCTCGGTCGTTCTGGGCCCGATGCCAGTAGCTGTGCAATACAGTCTTCAGTGTGCGTGCTTCGTCTCGCCGCCCGCCACTCGGTTCCGTCAGTTCCCGTTTCGCGTGTCATTCGGCTCTCTGCATGTGTCAGATGTTCAGAATGGCGCTACTATAACATGACGTTCGCCAGGCTGTCCTTGTTTATCAGCTGGCTCCAGAGCTCTGGCTCAGTTATTCCATCTACAGCTTGAGCCCCCCGGCCTCTCCGATCACTCCTTCAGCTCCAACTAACACCGTCCACGGGCCGATATCCCCCCCCCTCACAAAATTGCTCTCAACCAGGGGGTTATGGCTGTGACCTGTGCCCACAATTTGAGCTTACGAGCAACAGGCACGATGATTCAGGAAACTGTTCCCGCCGCACCGAGATACGAACCCCACACAGGTGCGTTGATCTGCACTTTCCATAGAGGCGATGACGCCTGTGTCAGATATCATCGGCACGCAGCACTATACCGATGCCACAGTATGCTTCTCCATAATGGTCGGACATCCCGGGGGCTTGCAGGCGAGTCGAATCAGATGTCATCTAGAATAGGGTGTTCAAAGCACACCAACGATTCTTATAAGGCATCGACATGTAGAAGGTCTAACAGTCGCCCCTAGAACAACGATGCCCGTGCAGTAAGTAGTGGCCTTTGTTTTCAGCCCCGCGGAAGGTCACCAACACACGCGTATAGGACCGTGCCGCCCTTTTCCTCCACTGTGTAGGTGGGCTTGGAATTAGTTCTGTAGACAATGTGAATAATCGACCTGGGTTCGGTTCGACCTAGTCAGCGACAACAATGACAGTCATCACTATCTTGACCTCGTATTTCGTGGGCAGCTCTAGAGACGAGCCTTCACAGACGCCGTATTATCAGTCGGCAGTGTTGTCTGCTGTGTTAGAACGACACATGCTGAGTGCATACATCACTCTGTTTGCACACGAGCGGCGGTCTCTGTCCGATCTGCACACGCGTGCTCTGTGTTTTGGGGTTGCAGCTTTATGGGCCAGAAGGGGGGGGGGGTTGGGGGGGGAGCGGGGGGGTGGTAAGGTGGGGGCAACAGCTTAGGGGTGGGTTGGGGGTGGGTGGGGGGGGGAGGGATTCAGGGGAGGGTGGGGGGGGGGGGGTGTGCAATATGGGCAACAGAAGCACGTGTGGGGCACAGGTGACAGGGGGTGGGCTGGGGAAGTGGAGGGGTGGGCGGGGAAGAGGGGGGGAGGTGGAGAAAGTGTAGGGGGGGGGGTCGGTGTTGAAAGGGTCGGGGGGGGGGAAGTAAAGTGGGCGTGGGGGGGTAGAATGTGTGGGGGGGCAGGTGTGGTGATTGGGTGGTTGTGGTCGGGAGGGGGGGGGATAGGGAGGGTATGGGGCGGGGGGGGTAGGGACAAAAGGGGGGGGGTTGGTGGATAATGGAAAAAGAGCGAGATGACGGAACGGGGGGTTGGGGTGTGGGGGCGGGATGGTGGGGCGGGGGGTGTGTGTAAGGGGGGGGTGGATGTGGTGGGGGGGTGGTGGGTGGGGGTGGGGGGGGGGGTGGAACAGGGGTGTGTGGGGGGGGGTGGGGGGGGGGGGGGGGGGCGGGTTTCAGGGGTGGGGGGCGGGGGGGGGGCGGCGGGGGGGGTTGGGTGAGAGGCAGGACGGGGGAGGGTCGGGGGTTGATGTGGGGGGGGGGGGTGGATGGGCAAGCCAACGTCAAGGGAGGGTGGCGAAGAGAAGGGTGTCCGTGTAGGTAGCGGGAGGGGAGAAGGCGCGGTGAAAACGAAAGAGGGGGGGTCGGGGCTCGCGATGTGGGCCGCGGGTGTGGCGGAAGGGAGGGAGGAGACGGGCTAAAGGCAACGGAGCTCGCGCGCGCAGATGGAACTGGCTAGTGGGAGACAGGAGGGACGTGGGGGGGATAGGGGGGCGGGGGAGGAGGGGGACGGGAGATCGGAGAGAGAAGATTTCGTAGCGGCGGAAGGAATAGGGACGGAAGGGGTGGGCGTTGGTCCGGGGTGTGGGGAGTGGAGGTGAGAAAGGCGATAGGGCGGGGGTGGCGGATGGAAAGTAGCGTTGGTGGGGGAGAGGAGGTAGGGGGGGGGTAGAGAGCGAGTGGTCATGCCCAACGGGACAGGTTGGGGGGGCCCCGTGCGGTGATGGTGGGGGGGGGGCCGGAAGAGGTAAAAAAGAAAAGAAGAAGAATAGAAGCCAATGAGAGAATGAGCGAGAGGGGGTGAGAGAGAAGGAACAACGCGTGGGGGCGCTGGGTGTCGTGTCGGGTCAGGGTAGTGACTGGGGGGTTGTGTGGGGGCTGAGATTCAGGAGGGACAGGGCCGGGGGGGACGGGAGGCCGGATAGACAGGGGGGACGGTGGGGTGTGTGCGGGGTAAAGGGGGGAAAACGTGGGTGGTTGGGTAGGGTGGAGGGAGGAGTTTGGGGGGATGGGGGGTGGAGGGGAGGGCGGGGGTGTCAGGTGGGTTCGGGGGGTCAGAGGGGGCATGAGGTGGGGGGGGTGTGCGGAGAGAAAAAGATTGGATTGTGGGGTTGGGGCGAGGGGGGTGGGGGTGTTGGAGTTAAGTAAGGGGTTGAGAAAGGGGGCGGCAAAAAGCGAGGGGGAGGGAGCAGTGAGGTGTCGTGCTGGGGAGGGGTAAAAAGAGCGGGGGGTGGTATGGTAGGGGGGGGGGGGAAAGAAAGAAGGAAGGAAGAGGCGAGGGGGGGGGGGGGGGTGTGGGTTTCTTAAAAAGTGGGGGGGGGGGGGGGGGGTGGAAAAAGGGAGGGAAAGACTGGTAGAGTGGTGTGGTGTGTCGTGTTGGCAGGG